CAAAACCGGTTGCCGCACACTGTCCGGTGATCAATTTGTCCCGTCGTAACATTGCTTGCGACCAGACCCCCACAATGCGGGCATGTGTACTCATGCGTTTTCTTTTCTTGGACTGTTCCATCCCTGACGCAAAACCGGTGGCCACTGTCCGGTGATCGATTTGTCCCGTCCTGACATTGCTTACGACCAGGCCCCCACAATGCGGGCATGTGTACTCCTGCTTTTGCTTGTCTTTGACTTCACGTCCACGATTTGCCCCCGGCACCTCCGGATCCAATGCGCGGCCATGTGTTGGCGCGTGTGGCTGCGCGCTTGTCGTGGTGGGTTTTCCTTTTTTGGATTGTGGTTTGGGTAGATTCTCTGTCGTGGTTTGGCGTTGTGTTTGATGATTACTGTGCGGGACTGTGCTCTGCGGTGGCTCGATAGAAATGTTTGGTTTCGCATGTGGTGCCACAGCACCTGCGCTTTGTTTGGGCCGCTTTGCGGCGGTGGTTTCCTGTGCGCCGGGGGTCGTCTGAGCCAGACGTTTGCGTGCGTGGACTTCCCTGGCGATGAGGTCTTTGATTTCTTGCAGGATGTGTTCTCGGTGGATTCGTTGGCGCAGCGACGCTACACGCGCGTTGCACTTAGACGCGATACGCTGGCGTTTGCGCTGCTGCGCCTGTCTTGCGCAACATGCGTCACACATCTGGTGGCCATCCTCTCCTGATGGACGCCGACGCAGGAAGGTACGGTATTGGTCTCGTTGTTTTCGTTGCTGACAGCCGGCACAAGTCCAAAAGCCACGGGTTTTGCGTTGACAGGTGAGGCACTTTCGGCGGTCCTGTTTACATTTCCACGCAGCAGCGCTGAAACACTCTCTGGTGAGACTTTTGTGGCACACGAGACATTGCTTTTTGGCTTCGCACGAGAAACAGACGCGGTACGAACTCCAGCGTGGATTCAGATGCTTTGACGGAAAGTGGCTGGTGGCGTGCCAGACACCACATTGGCTGCAACGATACGGTGTCCCTGCGTCACGTTTGCGCGCTGCGCACTCTTTGCAGACACGATAGCTGTCGTGGCGCCACTGGCCCTTGGTGAAACCGTCTTTCCGTTTGCTTTCGTTGCACTCCATGCATGGTCTCTCATCGAGATATTTCTTGCGCAGGGCATCCCAGTCAATTCGTTCTTGTTTCCAGATGTCCAGCAGCAGCTGCCGTCCCAATGGCAGCCCAGCTTGTAAAGGTGCCAAAGGAAAAGGGCGATAGATCATAAGTTTGTCCCGGGTCCGGCAACGTGTCATTCCCACGTAGACTGCAATCGGATCGGGGTTTGCTTCCACGTAGACTGTTTACATTTCCGGGGTCGGCGGCAGGGGCGGCAGCCCTTAAATTATTTTGTTGCACATTTTTGCATATGTTCTCATGTTTCGAGTTTTTTTAGATATTTTTCGAGATATTTCGAGATTTTTTGAGATTTTTAGACTTGGTAAAATGAGTTTCCCTTTTAACTCCTCGAGATTTTTTGAGATGTTTCGAGATTGTTTGATATTTTTTGAGAACTTTTCAGCTAATTGCTACTATGATTTTCCCTTTCCTTTTCTGATTCTTGTCCTATTATTGTTTTCTGTCCCATCGTTCCCTTTTCCTTTTTTCTATTATTCTATTATTCTTTCTTCTCGGTGGTCGCCGTATCATTAAGAACACAGAAGAAGGCTCGTGGGGCGCCTAGAGGGATGATGCCACCAACGGTGCCGCAGATGGGTGGTCCTATGATGCCGCAGATGAATGGTGTAACAAAGTCATCTATACGATCAATGTCTGACTGAAGTGGTGCACCATGGTGGAAAACATGTAAAGACATATTTGATTGGCTTAACTTTCTCAAAACTTTAAACAATAAGTTCACCAAGTGTTCAAAATCTGTTCATCGTTGAGATTATGATTTCATCCGTGCAACCCCGTTTTAGTCACATGCTAGGCCAATTTGTGCTCAATGGGTTTTCACAAACTCTTACGAGTGAAAGCTTTGGTCATGTCATGTTTTTTTCATTTATGTTCATGTTTTCTCATTTTTGTGCATTATTTTGGATTTGTGTGCATTGTTTTGCATTTTAAGTATCTTATCGAGATGTTAAATCTCGTTTGAAAGTCTTCCATTCCAAACCTCTCCGGTGAAGGTCATTGAATTTTTTGGGTGAACCTTGCATGAAGATGTTCTCGACTTACCTCTGCTACGCTGGTGCCTTGTCCGATCTCGCAGCCGCCGTGATGCACCGTCACTGAGCCGTCGTCGCCTTGTGGGAGCTGCTGCGCAACGAGGGAGGAGGGGGAGCATCCCGCTGGTCCAAAGAGCCCCCTTGAGATCCGAAGATCCCCAAGGCGAGAGTTGGCTTGCAGAGATTGTTTGAGCAGTCCTCTTTAAACTTAAACCGACCAAGTCTATCCTATTAGCAAAGCCCAGTGGATGATGACGGTTCGTTCCCAGGCCTTTCTCTAAAATAGTGATAATTGTTTACTGGTTACAAATGTTACAGGTATCATAGGACAAAAACCAAACTTAAACTTAAATTAAACCCATCCCAGCAAGTCTTCGGAAGTGTCCAAGCGTTCGAAGCTTGTCTGTCGACATCGATTTGTCTCTCTTGCTGCAGCTACGGCCGAGTGCACTTAGCGCCATTCCTGCAAATTGGTGGTTCAGCCTCCACTTGGAGGTGTAGGAAGAGAAACAAAAGAGTCGACTTTGACCTGGCAGCTCTAGCCAGAACATCTGTCTGAAAGTGGCTATCACTTCCATATTGTTCTGGCTTCAGTTGCTCATTATTTTTTACTTGTGATCTTGGCAAACTTTGGCTCACAACCAAGTGGTTGGCACCCATGTCTTTCTCCAAAGCTCGTTCTCAGAGATGGATTCTTAGCAACATCGACACGTTGCAACCATGATTGTTGCACATTCCATTCACACTCCGAAACAGGGGCCTCACCAAGCGGTTTCACACCAACTGCGCTGGTGTGAGACCCATGAGATCCCAACACATCTCCAAGCCTCCAAGCCTCCAACCTTCCCCAACCCATGCAGGGCTCCCTTCTCAGGCAAGGTCTGCAGATCTCCCCCCCCAGCTCCCCTCTCAGGCCCCAGTTGCCATGAATGTTCACCAACGCTCCGGTGCCGGCGGCATAGGCATAGCAGTGGCCGTAGGCCAAGGGCACTGCGCCTAGGTCATGAGGTACTTGGAAGGCATGTGGGCAGGTTTGGCTGACTGGCACGACTCATAAGGCATCCAGACTCAAGAGTGGAAGCTAAACGTTTCTCATTCCCCACTGCCTAAGCACCAACCTGTTGATCTGATTCGTAAAAAGAAGTGACCAGGAGGCACGGGTCTCTTTCGTTGGACTGGTCATCTAGTTATTAGACAATTCTATTCGGTGTCACGTGCACCTATTTGTGTGAGCAAGCCTCGCATGGTGCATAGTTAGCCACTAGCTGTTTCACTGTGAAAACATACACGTACACTGCAACCTTTATCCATTTTAGCCCATACCCTTTCTTTGATAATAGAAATTTAATCCGATCTTTCCCCCACACCCGGCTTTGAACACGGTGAGGTATATACCGTGAAGGCCACCCTGGGTTTCACGCCAATCCTCCAAACGCCGCCTCAGCGGCTGATGCCGCGCTTGCGCCAACGGTGCTGGGCATTGAAGGCCTCGCACTGCTTCTCGCGCTCCACAAAGGAAGCATCCTGTGCGAGGCGAGAACTGGCGAGGATAACCGGCAGGGCCTGCAACGGTGTGCAGTGGAGCTTGGGAATAGCACGGTGGAGCCGTATTGGGAAGAAGGGGGCCATTAGTTGGCTCTTAGGGTTCTTGACCTTGCAGGCAGGGTAGAAGCTTCAGCAGAGACATCACAAACGCTTGCAAAATGCAAGTAAAGACATAACTAAACAATGTATCAAAGGGTCCTTAAAAGTCTGTCTGATTATATATACAGATACTCCCTTTTTAAGCCTCTCTCTGAGAACCACTGGTGCGGTGGTTGTCGCGATATACGTACCTGAATATAATACGGTATTCCATAGATGACCAAGGTGCACCCTAAAGCACCCTGGAGGTCATCTTCATCGCATCGACTCTTCCCTGCTGGCCACGCGACTTAGATCTTCGGATGGTTTAGGCTCACGTCTAGACACCACAAGTCGAGACATCACAAGTCTCGCGTCTCCCCTCACGTCCTGCTTCAGCTTCTTCCAAAGCATGTCTGCCTTGGTCGCTGATGATGCCAATCAAGCATGCGATGCTGGCAGGCTTGTGCCCACTTCTGGATTACGAGGGTAATCACTAGTGGAAGACAAACAAGGTGTCCTTCATCTTCAAAGCGATATGAGTCTTTTTCAAGGCATCCAGTCAAAGAAAGGGGGCGAGCCTCACCATTGTACTACGTAGGGTCATCACTATCATCTGGCGTTTATCACCGAATGGCTCGACATCCTATGACATGTGACCAAAACATCAAACATCAAAAGCCCTGGAGAGGATCCATACACTTGGGAGGTTCAATCAAACGCATGACAACCACCTTACCAAAATGGAAAACAACACATGTGTATATATAATATATTATTGTTATTACTGTTTTATGATGATTATGTTTTCATGTGATTTTTTTATATATATATACACACATAATATATCATTAAACAAGTATATATATATATATGTATACATTAATAACAAGCTCCTCACCATCTTTTTCATTCCGTGTAATGATTCAAAAGGAGGTCAAGAGTGTTCCGACGCACCAACGCACCGAACACACAAATACGAAGCTGTACCAACCTTCCAAAACCCTGGCTTAACCCAATCCGGGCAATCCAAGCTGTTCCGGGCTTCCAAGAAAAAGCACCCACCATGCACGCGGCCTGCGCGTCGGGTCCCTCGCGTCGCGTCGAAGCGTGGCGTCGCTTCCCAGGCGCGTTGTAGTACTCCATGGGCTGCCCCCAAGGCGTCACCGCATTCTCTCGGGTGCACCTTTTGGTCACGGACCCGACGGCCCGACGGGGTCCTTCGTTGTTGGGGCCGCTCCACGTTCGAAGCACAGCGCAGCACAGTGTGATGTGTGATGTGTCCTTCGTGGTAGAGAAATGTAGATGCAAGCTATATATAGTTCTGCATATTTCTGCATAAATGCCCTGAGAGACACAAAACACTAAAAAGTGTACATCTCATTGTGATGACTGGATGAGACAGGATTTCAAAAACACCACGCTTCTCTTCAGAACACGCCCTGTCAGACTCTGTCATGTCCAATTATTTCAGATTTAGGGAATCTTACTAAAAAAGTATAGACGTATTGAAAGTCATTAAGTCCTTTCTCAAAAGAAAGTGCTGCATAGGGACACCACCAGGGATGTTTTGCGGCAACTTGCTGGCGCAAACCGAACATACGAAGAGTCGTCTCTTCACGTGTGAAGACCCTCACTTGTGAATCAAAAGTCGCGAATGGTCACGGAAAATCCACGAAAAACACGGTCTCCAAATCGCCCAGAAACATATTGATCTCTCGAATTTCCTCCACAGGCTTTCCCAACCTGAAGGACGGCGACGACGTGTTGGGCATCCGACTTGGATCACGTCGGACCGTGCTCGGACCGACGTGTCTTGGCGGGTGAAATCACAAGACACGACCCAAAAGGGACTGAATGGGACTGGTATACATCCACTGGGGTGCTGAAAAGGGGTGAATGAATGGTGAATGATATAGGGTAAATCATTGGTTTGCCATACACTCCCTGAAAGATATGGGTTAGTGGAGTGTGTTCACCACCTGTTTGGTCTCTTCAGAACATGCTAAGCATGTCTTTAGAAGAGCAACCATCCCAGGCTGTCAGTGGTAGACACCAGATGAATCAGATAGATGAATAAGATGGCATGTATCATGCATTCATGTATCAAGGTACTTATTATGCGTGTCTGAGGCCAGACATAAGTCCCAAGAGTCACAAGAGGGGTTGGTGTGGCTCGTCCCATCCAGTGGATGTGTCAAATTGGCACCACCGGGCACCACTATCCTCCGTTCGTCCGGTCTCCCGACATAGAACTGCTGGTCAAATTCCCAGGAGCCACAAAAGGGTGCCGAACTTGGAGGTAGTCGGGGTGCCCATTATATCCACTCACTGGATGGGACGAGCCACACCACCCCGTCGAATGTGACCCCTTGTCGTTGGATCTTTGTTGGAACATGTCTTCACTCACTCAACTCCGGTCATCGCCTGCCAGCAACGTCCTCAATGATGGCCTCGCACACGAAGTTGCCTCAGAAGCAAATGGCGGCCTTCATCCGACGTCATCACATCTGTTCCAATTCTTCCCCAATCTATGTGTATATGATGTGTGTATATGTTTTTTCATTGTATAAAGAGCTGAAGGGATCCAAACCTTCTGAAATTGACCCTCCACCAGTCAGCCAGGCCTCCGGAAAATCCCCGTTAAAGAATCATGTTCACAAAAAAGTAAAACGCTTCCAAAGGAACTACATAGCACATCATAGCACCACTTCACCATACCTAACCATACCTGAAAAACACACCCACAAACACATCTCCACTCAGTCTGGCTTCTTCTCCACCCCACATCCGACCTCTCAGACCTCCACGGTGCCTCTCTCCCTGCGTTCCGGCGTTTCGTCCCGGTCGTCGTCGCCTTGAGGACTTCCAAAGGAGCGCACCGCGGTGTTGCTGGGGAGGTTGGTCTTCATCGCCTCGGATTCGGCCGACTCAGAGGTTTGGCTGGGCAACGAACACACCGCAGGGCCGGGACCCCGGATTCCGTGGGTTTGGGGTACTTTTGGGTCCAGTCTGGTTGGGTTCGGTCTGGGGGACCCTGTGGCCATTTGGGAGTTGTATTTGATTGATTTAAGGATTTGCACCGAAATTTCAAGACACATCACTTGCAAAAAGGGGTTGCAAGTGAAGCATTGAAGCAGGTGTGGGAGGTGGACATCTTCGAGCTCTACGTTGGGAAGACTTGGCAAGTGGGCAGGGCTAACAAGCATAGGAGCAAAGGGATTGGTCAAATGAATGAGGAACACCCAGAAAAGGCATTTGTGTTGCCAATGAATGTCGGAATTTCTGGGACTTTCTGATGATACCTGATCAATGAAAATGATTGAACGTCGTCAAAAACACGACAATCAAGCGCAATTTACTGAAAGTTACCTCAGAACTCAATGAATTGAACTTGGATGATCACTCTATCCATCCAGCACTCCATCCCATCCCATCCAATCCATCCATCTGCATCCGCACATCTCCGCAAAAAAAAAGGTGCTCTTTTGCCATGATGATGTGCTTGGGCGAGCCACGTGCACATTGATCTTCATGTTGGGCCACCAGTACACGGAAGGGATCGCCTCCCCCATCTCCAAGTTCAAGAATCCTAGAAGAAGACGAGTAACTCGTGCGACTCGTGGCTGGATGGAAAGGACTGTGGCTTGGGGGCTACACTCCCTGAAACAATCATGGAAGTGGAAGGTAGGCCCCTGGAAGGATCCTTTTTCCTCTACAAGGGGGTCCTGGCCAGCTTCCATGATTACTGTCATCTACTTTCGTCGCACCAGGCAGCAAAAGAAGAGCGGTTCAAGAATCAGAGCAAAACACACGTTCAGCACCTCGGGGTTTAGCGCAACGAGACCATGGAGCCCGGATTCTTCTGGTTGCGGGGTGAGGTGAGCGATCCTTGTTGTTAAATGGTGTAGCGTTCGAACGTGTGTTTTGCTGCATGAGTCGTAGCATCTGATAGCACAACAGCATACTTGCAGATTAACATGCTGGGTTGTAGAGGAAAATCGTCTTCCACGGGTGATTCTCAGGTTCCATGTTAATCTGCAGGGGGGTAATCACCAAAAGGAGACGGAATCAGTCCGGATGCACGATGAGATGCCAAAGGCTTCCAACGCCTCCGACCCCAAACCTGAGATCTTCTCCAATCACACCTCCTTCCCGGGAACAGGAAACTGCATTTCAAAAAAAAACGTCCAACCACTTCGTTGGACCATCCAAAACCACTTCATTTTTTTTTTCCATTTCGCATTGCCGTAAGCGGTGCTTGTGACATCGCATGCATTAATTAAAAGTATCACCACGAGCGGCGCGCGGACAGTAGTCGGGCCCCTGTACGGCCTCCTCGCTGAAATGCGCTTTCAGCTTGTCGACTGCCGCAGCAAACCAACTCGGGATTTCTTCTGAAACCTCTTCCTCAGGTTGGCTGAGGTTGAAAAGAAGCGCCAGGGCCTTGCAAAGGTCCGGTGGATAGCGCTTCAAAACACTGGTGCGCCAGCTACCGTCCTCATCCTTCCCAATTCTGGAAGTCTGAGGGAGAGGTGTCGTTCTATGTTGCACAAAGAAGCCAGCTACGTCATCGATGCCATGCACAACAAGAAGGTCCGTTGGCTTGGGGGAAAGTCCTCCAAATCTCCCTTGCTCGATTCGGATTTTCTTACAGCATTGGAATCGGAGAAAAAAAAGCAATCACGGGTAGATGCCAAATCGATGGCAGTGTCTCCTCTTCCGGCTGTGCCGGATGCTCGACCACAGCCGTGGCCCCGTGAACAATGGCAGACCAAACCAGCACCAGCGTGACACCGAGGAGCTGGTTGCCAATTGATACTTGCTGAGCCTCTTTGCGGTTCAAACTTTTAATCCCTTGAAGTCTGTCTCTAGATCTAACTACCCTAGGTCCGTTTGACCTACCTGCTAACACCACCGCCCTGGCCCTGCTCCAAGTTTCGCATGGAGGACCTGCGATAAAACCAAGGAGCGTCCGTTCTCTGAGCGACCTCTGAAAGAGTGCTAGTGTTTCAGGTCGGAGGAGATTCCCCCATTCAAGGTCGAACACAACATCAATTGAAAGGGCTTCAAATCCAGCAGCTTCAAGAAAGGCCTGGACATCCCCTTTTCTGCGTTCACCAGAAAAGAGATGGGCAACGACTCGTGGAAAGTACTTGATCGCTTTAGGAGGACTCCAGAGCACATCGTTAAAGATCCAAGCCTCACGCTCAAAAAACTGAAGAGGGTCTTCTTGAATATATCTTTCCTTGAGATCACCATGAAGAAACCAAGCAGCGGAAGCGAGGCTTGTAAACCGTCCATGGATAACCAGGTCAGATAATCGGCATGTTTGATTGTCATGGCACCATCGCTCCCACCACGCAGAAAAACATTGCAGGATTTCTTCGTGGTATAGCCATGTAGTCAGGGTGGCAGTCCTTAGTCTATCTAGCCATTGGTCAGGATCACTCAGCTCGGAGGAGGCTGTATCCCATGCTTGCCAGAGCTCTAACTGCTCAACTTGTGCTTCTTCCTCAAAAGGAGGTGGCGGTGCACATTGAGGACCTTCAGCTTGCAGCACAGGTGCTCGGAGGTCCCTACGGTTCCGATTCTCCTGTCGGCTGTTGACTCCTGGTTGCCTGGCCACATGCCATCTTCTTCCTTTGTAAAAATCAAAGCAAGCTGTGGAGCGTTTGACATGATTAACAAGGTCAGTGTACCTGTCATAAACTCGTAAGCATCTCTCGCACTGAGTGCCCTGGACAAAATCGCGAACTTGGTTGACTCTCCCGTGCTTTTTAAAAGCGTGGACTGTCAATGCACTTCTTCGTACAAAAGTTTGACGACATGCCAGGCAGTAGTGCTGCTGTGCTTCAACAACCCGTTGTGGTCGATGACCAAATCCTGATTCGAGAACGTCCTGCATAACAGCAGAATGCCATGCATTCCATTCACAATCAATCTGCCGAATTGAAATGTGCCGATGTATCATTTTTTTGAGGATCTTCTTCCAGCGACCCGGCGACTCCAACATGAAGGCGATCAGCTGGTTCCAGTATTCCTCAATAGGAAAAGGCACTTCATCTTCAGGACAATAGTCATTCAGGCAGGATAAATCTTCGTTGACTTGTTGCTTCCATAGATCATCAGTCTGCAGAAGAGCCCATGTGTGCGGCTGGCCAACTTGTGCTAGTTGCAGAAGATATCTAAGTCGTGATCTTCGGATGGTAAACGCCGGATCAGGCAGGCCAAAAGCATTCAGGATCCTAGTCTGAGACCATTGGACTGCTTGCTGTCCGAAATGTAGTGCAGTGACACGCTTGTACAACCTCATGAAGGCCGCTTCGGTCTGTGCAGCTTGCCTCTTATTACGGGGACACCAAACCGCAGCATTGAAGATGATCGTACTCATGATCATCATTTCAAAGAGTTGCCTCTTCTTTTCAAGTGGCATCTTTCTGTTAGCAAAAATGGTAGCCCGATATTTTGTCACAAGGTCATGTGCAACCGCGAACTTCATGGCCAAGTCTTTGGCAATTCCCGCTCCACTCTGGAGCCAGGTACCAAGGTGCTTGTACGCACCCACAGTCCGCAGTTGATAATCCTCAATATTAGAGGGGATTTTCAACAAGTATTCAGCATGGTAGAGTTCTCTTCGGATGGCTTGGGCTCCCTTTCCCCGGAAGTCAATCAGCAGCTCTGTCTTGCCAGGCCGTAGGTTCGGCACTAGGCCTGCAGAAAGCACTCCATCCAGGATCATACCAGTGACCTCTCTCGCCTTCTCCAGTAGCATGGTCGGATGAGGGTCGCTCAGTGCCACTGCAAGGTCATCTGCCCAGATGGGCATCAGTACATCCAATCGATGCAGGGGCTGCTGGCTGCGGACTGGCGAGTTGCATCCGTCCCAGGAAAGTCCAAGCTCTGGAAATCGTTGTCGAATTGCTTCCATGACCGGTTGCAAGACTTTCGTCAAGGCAAAGGAGAAGCAAAGGTCAGCAAAACTGTCCCCAGGCCTGCTGCCGCGGCGAGTCTCAATTACTTGGTCATCATTCCGCAGCGTAAACCAGGTTTGGTGATAGAACTCACGAAAGAGTCGTTTCAAAAATTCCGGTGCTTCAGCCATCTCCAGGGCACCTGGTGCCTTCACAAGTCTCTCGAACTCAGCAAACGCTTGCTCGGGCAATCCTAATGCCTGGAACAATTGTTGAGGATCTCTTGCATCTCCTGTGCCATGGATGATATGTTGTCGTGCAAGACGATAAAAGGCATTGGCAACATCCAGAAAGAGGAAACAGACGGAATGCTTCCGCTGAATTGCTTGCCTCTGGAAAGCCTGCAGCGCATGTGCCGCCTGCGTAATCCCATGTCCACGCAACCCTCCTATCTGGAAAGGCAAGCGATTGGCACCGAAAACTTCAGCTAACTCCTGGCGATAGAGCGCATGGATCGCTTTTCCAATCACGCTACTCACAAAGAGAGACCTATAATTGCTGGGAACACTGGGGTCTCCCTTTTTGAAAGCAGGGATCAGATACCCCCCTTTGTGTGCAAGAGGTTCTCTCACATAAGCGATTTCCTTGCACAAACAGGTGAACAGCAGTTGTGCCATCTGTTTGGGCGCTTGTGCAAGGAGCTCACCAGGGATGCCGTCACCGAAAAAAGCTTTCCCTTTTGAAGTTCTGCGAAAAAACTGCTCAATTTGGAAGATGGTAGGGAGATCTCCCCACTCAGGAAGGGACTCTTGACGATCTCCTACCGCATCGGCTTCCTTGAAGAGAGAACGAAAATCACTGGCCACTCCATCTTCTTGTTCTCGAAAGTACTCTCGCCAGCAGTCACGTACTTTCTCCACTGTATCTAGCGGCTCACCTTGGTCATTCTTCAGCAATGGCATTGGCTGGATAGCCGTTGGTTTTTTTGCATTGGCGACTCCTAGCGCACGAAGCGAGCCCATAAAATCTCGAGGATTCATGTCATGCGACTGCTCCGCCAGCCTTTCAAGGGATCGTACCCGATCATGCCTCAAACTAGCTTGAAGTTGTTTCGTGCACTCTGCGATAGCAGTTTTCTGCTGAACTGCTTTAACAAAGGACCGAAAAGCTATGGCAAGTACATCGGTTGAGCGAAAACCGTGTCTCAGGCAGTTCCATGCATCCCTTAGGGAAAGCGTAGAAATCGTCAACTTGGTTCGGCTGAGCTGATGTCGAAGGTGAATTCGCTGTCTCCGTAGCTCCCAGCTCTCATCAGTAATATAGCCACGTCGGGGCCCTTTACTTTCTTTCGGGAAAACTTCTGGAAGACGTTGACAGATTTGCTCCGTCAGTGCTGTCATATGTTCATCAATATCCGTGTCCCAAGACGGGATAGTCACTCCTTCGAAAATCTTGGCAACCTCTTCCGCAGTGGCTTGCTGAAGTCGTCTACGATCGAAAACTGGTCCAGCCTGAGTCCTGCGTTCTTTAGTTAGTAGGATCTTAACACTTGCTGCCAAAGGAGTATGGTCATCACCTTTTTTGCGCCAAATCAAGCGTGTGCAATGGGTAGGTTTGGATGTCTCCAACAAACCAGCTGCGAGGCAGAAAAATATAGTCACATCTGGCTCCACCCCCA